TGTCCCCAGTGCTCCTCCTGCCAAAGGTGCTGGCTGGGCGGCACAGTCCCGGCTGGCAACACGGGGCAAAGTCTACCTGCAAGGCACTGGTACATCAGGATCAGCAGATAGGGGTAAAACTACCTGCCTGTACCCTTCGGTTTTTATAGGTATACATATCTTTCAGTGCCAATGAATAAACACGGCTAATAGTGCAACACTAAGTCAACTATAAAGACAAAAAAAAAAACCCATTTAATCTATGCTTAATAAGTTCTTACTTTTTTAAACACTTGGGACTATTCAGGGCAGTTATGACTTCATGTACAAGCTGAATTCATTAAATATACAGCAAATCCAACCAGTAGGTTATTTTTTCTTGTCATTTTTGTGAAGTACTTCAGAAAGCATGGCTGTAAGTGTGTAAGGCTACATTTTCTCTAAAAAGAGTGACCTTTACTTACATTCTACTTACCAGTCTTCACTCAATGCAGCACGCTATGCTGTACAGTTGCTCAATGCACGTTCCTAACAAGAAATCCTAAAAATCACTATAATTTCAAGAAATGCTTTGTAGGCCTGTTTCCTGAAACAGCTGTGTTATCAACCATGTCCCCAGATTCCCTGCTGCAAAGCAACTATTGCAGAATCTCATCTAGTTAATTTACGAGACATCAACTACTGTGCACCACTGGAAGGCAAAAAAAGAGGAGGAAAGATGTAGAAACTTGAATCGTGTCAAGAGTAGTAGCTACCATGAATGGGGGCTCTCACATTGGGGCAAGTGAAGACGAATTTCCCACCATATAGAACAGCTCTAATATTCTTTGGTATTGAAATTACAAATTAACTGCATCAAGCCACTGTCACTGACTCTATTAAAAACCACCTGAGGCAGGAGAGCCCAGCAGCACCATGCCTAACACTGCTCTAGAGCCAGCTCCAGTTTGGAAACTACCATTAACCCTTACAGGCAGGTGGTATCTGTGCAAGTAGTAACTCAAAATGCACCAGAGGCACCCAAATAGCTTTTCGAGAGCGAACTCAATGCCAGCAAGTGTGAAGCTAGGTGTAAGCCAATTTGGTGAAAAGCCATACAGGTTCCTCTGCATTTGCTGCCCACTGAGTTGCATGATAACAAATTTTTGGTATCTTCTAGGGTATACCAAAGAGTTACCTTCAGTAACATCACAGCTTTCTCACCAGGTGCTTGCATATCCACGGAAACAGTGCCAGCAGCACTGGGTAAGGGAGGAAGGAAGAAAAACCTGAAGGATGCACTAACAGACAACACAGAAGAATCTCTATCACAAAATAACTGAGCAAAGAATAGTTTTTCTGTCAATAGTTGGGATTTTGAGACCCAAGTGTTAATTTGCAAGCTGACTGAAAACTCACCGCTGTCTGTGCCCAGCAAGCTTTTTCACTGCTGTGAGCAGAATGTGCCAACCAGCCGCAATAGTGCTCCACTACCCGTCGCTTTCCTCTAGACTGAAGTGTACGTAGTTAAAGCAAGCATGGAAGTGCCATATGCTGAACTCTGGCCACAGCAGACTATTTGCCATTAACACCCTTCTCTGTAAATTAACTTGTCTGCCTTTTGAGTTTTCCACTTCACAGCACAGCTGACACTGGAAGGCACCTCTGGAGATGATCTAGTCCAACACTCACCCACCCCTGTAAGTCCAGTCAGGTTTTGAAGGAGACTCCACATCTCTCTGGGCAACCCTCTTCGCTGTCTGACCACCCTCACAGGAAAGTTTTTCTGGTGTTTAAACAGATTCTCTTAAATTTGTGCCCATTGCCTCTCAGCCTGCTACTAAGCACAATCAAGAAGAGTCTGGCTGTTTTTACTTCCCCTCCATCATGTATTCGTACATGTTGGTAAAACACCTCCTGAGCCTTCTCCAGGCTGAGCACTCCCAGCTCTCTCAGCCCCTCCTCGTACAACAGATGCTCCATTCCTTAATCATCATCATCACGGCCTTTTGCTGGACTAGCTCCACTAAGTCCATGTCTCTCTTGTACCTAGAAGCCCAGAACTGGACCCAGTGCTCCAGATCTGAGTAGAAAGGATCACCTCCCTTGCCCTGTTAGCAACATTCTTCCTAATGCAACCTGGGACACTGTTGGCCTTCACTGTAGGCTGGCTCATGGACAGCTTCTTACCCATCATGACCCCATCATGAGTGGTTTCTCAAAACTTGCCTGAACATGAGCCTCCCCTTTCAAAAGCGGTCACGCTCAGCAGATTGTGGAGGTTTCTTCCACACCACACCCTCACTTCACCCTGCTCCAAAGGAGAAAGCTGGCAGGAGACTCAGCCCCACTCATGGTTCAGGACTGACTCAGCAGCAGGGAGAGGAAGCAAGCTTTCTAGTAGCCAGGAACAAGTTTAGCAAGTTCCCAGGAGTATCAAAGAGGTATTTTTACAGTAAATGCTTTACTATAAAAGCTTTCATAAGACCTTCTAAGAAGTTGGAAGTGGTGGATAAAAAAATTTGTCCAGTTCTTACAACACAGACAGCAATTTAAGAGCGCAAAAGACAATGCCATTTGAAGTTCCTTACTTTCCCAGAGCGATGCAACATTCTCTGTTGTACGAGAATGGCTACATCTCCCCAGTCAAACCTGCAAAAGCATTCATGTATCACCATAGCCTGTAGAAAGATTATAGTCTTTTATTGATTCCTTGTTTTACAGATTTAGATTTAACTTTCAGTAATAAAGTTCAATAAATTGATTCCCTAACCATAAAAACTTGTTTTACACATTATGTACAGGTACCCAGAGACTACAGCTGTACAGTATGTCACAGCTCTACCACAGACCTTCACACAGACAAGCCGGGAGAGGCGCTAACTGCAATGACATACATTCAGAGATCAAGTTGTGGATATGCACAGTGCGTTTGGCACAGCTCACTGAAGATTGCCCACACAGGGACAGCAAAATAATCCCAACCAAGTGATAATGTGGATTAGTTCAATGACATTAATTCCAGGAGGAACACTTAATTCACAATTAAACTAGCCATCAGAAGAGATTTGATTAAGTTGAATCAAATGCAGCTGAACTAATCATTTTAGTTTCATTAAGCATCCCTCCATAGACAAATCGTAGACCTTGAGATCTGTCTCCAATATAAAACAAGTCTTTTCAGTTGAGATATGCAGAAGTTTGAGGACGGAGGGGAGCTCAGGTATTAGAAGTATTCTTTGGCAGTTTGATACAAATATAAAAAATAGATTACTTTTGAGGTCTAAACTAAGCTTTTCTCATTTTATATCTTTACTGCCAGCATCAGAACTGCTTCAGTGACACAGTTACACTTACATATGTAACTTAAACACAACCTTACATTTTTATGAAACAAAATTTGTATTAGATAAACTTCAATACTCAAGATAGCCTGTTGAAGGGTATCTGCTCCCCACAAAACGTCAAACTTAACATTCAGTGAGAAAACTTTCCTAGAGCAGTGACAGAACCCAGGAAACATTGCACGACTGATCCTCTTCTCTGCAATGCAGTAACTGGCAAACATCGGAGACCAGTCTGCAAAAGGCAGCCAACTGAACTCTGAGCATTCCCACTCATATGGAATGTTATTTGATGTCAAAACCACTAATTAATTGATTAAACACCCCTTTCTCTTTTATGAGATAAAGTAGACCACAGTGCTCTCCTGTAACTGCAATGTAATCTCAGTATGACAAACAACTGCAGCTAAGAGTTTATGCAATCTGCTTTATAACATCAGATCAAGCTACAACAGTTAAAATACAGTGTTTCACAGAGGCAGACATTCATTTAAAATGTGGCAATTCCCTTTTAAAAGCAGTTGTTTTCCCTTCTTAGTGACATGCCTATCCTGAAGGAGATAAAGCTAGACCCATTTTGAAGAGGGGAAAAAAAAAAAAAAAGGAACACTTCCAGAATGAAGTATCCATCAGTTCTACAGCCTGCAGGGCAGAGGGCTGCAATATTCATGTTGTCTCCAGTAATACAGCTCTGAAGATACGGCTTTGTCCAAATGCCGCTATAAAGACTTTCAATTTCACATTACTTCCAACAATAGGAATGTAACTCGAATAGGGCATTCCACGATGAAGGCCATTCAGCTCATGTATCTATCTAGTTATCTCAGTTTTGAGGCACAGCAGTGCAGCTTCACTTCCTCTTCTTTCTTGTCTGCTGCAGGCTCTCATTCAAACTTCTAATACACAGCTCAGAACAAGCCTAACAAAAGGCTTAAGCAGACTCCCCTGCTGGGTACATAAGTACAATAAGCAAGTCACATCAGCCACAGCAACGGACCTAGTCCATTCTCAGATTTTTCAGCAAGTGATGCCAGAGCCTTAGCTAGCTTGTCACCTTACATGAGAATTTTATGGAGAATATATGTATACAAATATACATAGTACTGTTTATGCTTATTCCCTGCAGAAAACTGACATGATGCTAAGAGGAGTTTCACTCAGGGCTGTAGGAATACTTTGATTTTCTTTTTTTTTTTTTGAGAGGGGTAAAAGGCTGGATGGATAGTGCCACACAGACTGCCTAATCCACCTACAACAGAAGCTTCCATTCCTTTTTAGGGAATCTTCTCAGAATTTCTAGAACTTGATACCTACTGCTGGCTTAGTCACCACAGCCAAGTAGCAGTCTCTATTCTCAGTTAACAGAACTGACCCTTCTGGAACTCACATATTATACAGTAAATATATCTGAAGATAAATGAGGTGATTTGCTCTGAAATGCCTGACCATGAAGAATAAAACAGAAACAAGCTGAGGTGAGAGTTCTTCCTTGAATTTAAGGACCTTCAGGCCATGGAACTCCTATTTAGGTTGTTGCGTAGATTTCACAAGACTTAATTCTTGCACATTCTTGCACTTAAACATGGAAGTGAGGGTAATCCAGCTTTGGACAGATTGGCTTGCAATAATGGTGTTCTTCATAAAGGAATTCTGTGTATTTCCCCCTTCCCATAGATTCTCACACATTCACACAGACTGTCTAGAAAGGTAAGACACTTTATTGAATTTCTTGATAAATTAAGAAAGGACTATGAACCAGACTTATGGGTCACAGGTGCTTGTAAACAGACATCAATCCTTCCCACGGAACGCCTGACTCCACGTGCTCAGCCAGAAGTCACTTTCCCCAGCGTTGCTCACAGGCTGCATAGTGATGGAGGGCAGAGAAAAAGTCTTCATAGCTGATGTTCAGATGGGAAGGCAAAGAACTGAGAAAGCAAGTTAGAAAAGTTAAAATAAGCTTTTATAAACATCACAGAATTTATATGGCCGGTCAGGAAGACCACTACTTAAAGCAAGCTATTCTCTGAGTAACCTTGTGAAGTTTTTCTCAACACTGTTATTATCACTCAAATCTAGTAACTAAACTAGCTGTTCATACCTTGTCATCCTTTAAATCAAAGCCTACCCATTACAGCACACAGGGCACTTCAAATTAGTGGGAAAGTTGGAGAAGCACAGGTCTGCCCAGACATTTAAGTGCCCTACAAATGCTCTCAGATTTAAGAAATACAGCAACTCCAGTCTGTTCAGTTATAGCCAAAATTGGAAAGTAATCCAGAGGCAAGATCATCTTACATTATCCTACTCCCCTTATATCCTTAGTTTCCCTGTTAGAAACCTGTAAGCCACTCAAAATTCTCATAAGGAACACTGACAGAACTAGGATTGGACCACTGAGACTAAACAGTGACAGAAGGTGTTCCTTAAACCTGAAGAGTAAAGCCTGTTGTTGCCTAATTGTGGCTGAAGGAGCAACAATGGAGGTTTGACAAGTTTCATTTAACAGTTTTTAAATACCCTCAAAAATCAATCTCCAGACACCTTTGTTTAGACAGATCTCATATGGCTATTTCCATAAGGTAAGTCACAGAGAGACTTGTTTAGTTAGGTATTATTTCAACCTGTTTCACAGTATTTATAGGCAACTCACACGATCTCTGTCAGTCTGATGTGCCACGGAAGGAATCCTAACGTGCTGTCCACAGGACCGAACTTCAAGACTAAATCAGGATCGGGAAATCCATTTGTACCTGTAAGAACAAGTTAAATTAGGTTTTATTAAATTCACCAGAAGATGTTTTAAATCTAAACCCCAAGACATCCACTTTTTTATTAAATGCATTATTTTTAAGTGAAGTGAAGGTCCTGAGGACAAGTTAACAATTAAAAGCCCGAGAGGACAGACTGGTCTTGCACCACCTGAACAGGACCAGCCAAGCAAAAGACAGGCAGTCACTGTAGGCCCAGCTTCACTGTAATTTTCATGTCAGGTAGTTGGTAAGTTGGTAAGACTTGGTAAGGACGTGATAGGAACAGTTACATTGTTTTGTATAACAGCAAACCTTAACTCTGCTGTTTAAGCTGACTTGTTCTAGTTTTGACTTGGCAAACTTGATTTTAGTAGCGTAGAACATGCTGTACCCTGACCCATACCTGCTACAGTCCTAACTCAACTATGTGGAGTTGAGGCCAAGTAGAGCAAAAGGACTATTAACATAAAAAAATCCTAAGGACATTACACTGAAGAACAACTTGATATCACAGACCATCAAGAAAACAAGTCGTAAAAAACCACCCTGTCAGCTTAATTGTCTCTTTCTCAGTATGGAGCTAGACAATTTCACAAACAATTTTTACTATGAAATTTCAGACAAGCTGTTGCAGATGACACCTTTCTGGTTAGATGAGTGAGGAAGAACAGGGCAGTGTTTTTATCTTCTTTTTCCTGTTACTAAGTAGATAGCATGGCCCATCCCAGGGCAGGACTAGGTAACACTGAAGGACTTCACTAGGTGCCCACTCTTACCACCCATACCTTAAAACCCCAGTCACTGTTGTTCCGCTAGCGACAGCATCCTACTGATCTTCCAAGGTTGAAGATAACCAGCAGCCAAATGACACTGTCTCCCTTCCTTACGCTTCTGCCATGCCTCAGCTACTCCAGGCTAAAACTGACAGGTAGGCAGTAAGCTCAGAACTAACAGCACAGCCTTCCCTGGTAATTCTAGCAAGCTGATTAGGGCAATGTATGAAAACCAGTATAGCAGCCCAAGTAACCCAAGAAGATAGGTACATGAAGAACAGCTTATCTAACTCATCTGAAAAGCATTCCAGCAGTCATAACCCTACTTTGCTGTAATGCTGCAATTAGTCATGATTACTGCATACTATTTCTTGTTACCCCTTCCATTATCCACGAATTCTACAAGTTAACCGCAACAGTGCTTACATTGTATAAGGCCTATCTTTACCAGATAAAGTTTAATCCTGCCTATTTGTTCTGAACTTCAGATGTTACTTGTCAATTCTTTTCTCACTTGCTTAAAAGAAAACCCAAAACTGTCAAGAGCCTTTTACAAGTTTAGTTGTAGAGAAACTTGACTTTGCGAGTAAGAGAACAGGAAACTGAGATTTCGCTCTGCCCAGTCTTGAAACTGAAGCTGGAGATTTCAAGAAGTTCACATGCTCCCTCCCTACTGAATTGTCAGAACAGTAACCCTTTTACCAAAGGTAAAGAAGCTATTTTCCCAAGCACGTGCATTTCTAAGGAAGGACAAAGTATTTAGATACGAGTACCTTGTGCCACAGTCCTAATCTTATCTCAAAGTTAAGAAAACAATTATAAAGCAAAAGCCACTTATGTGTTCAGAAGCTAGCATGTTAGTATGAAAGAGCTTTGCAGGGAAGCAGTGAATACTTAAGAGGTGGGGACTCTGGAGGAAGTGGACAGCTTTACTCATCAGCTGATTCAGTAGCTGAGTACTCCTCAGCTGGCCAGTTCAGCAGCAGGATCTTCAACACTGCAATGGCTCAGGAAAAGACCTTCAGAGAGCCCAGTTAATGCTAATATTTCCTTCTGGTTCCTATCTGAAGGAAAATGAAAACGTACACTGTAGTATTGCCACCAGAATAGCCTACTCAAAACACAGTACTGTGCTTTCCACTCTGCATCTATTTCTCTGCCTAAACACATCAATGTTACAGATAGTTTACATGTGGAAGCTTCCTCACAGCTGCTTAGCATTACAGCACTCTTCAAATTTAGCACAACAAGACAGAAGGATTTGGGAAGCAGACTGAAAAAAAACCCAGGCCAAAAGACTTTGACACTCAAGGGATAGGAACCTGGCAACATCCCTTCTAGGTCAGGAGTTCTGTGAGGGGAACATGAAGGAATTTGTAGAGCTGACAGTGCTACCCTTCTCTTCTCCACATAGATTTTGCAGGGCAACTTGCACAGCCTTAACTGATAGTCATGTTCTTTACTGGGAAGGCAGACGACAAGTAGAGAAAGTATTATAATGCAGCTGGCACTTTTCTGAAAAGAAGGTGGTTAGCTGAGGCATTGCTCAGAAGAAAGAACTCTTACACTGAAGAAAACTGAAGCTGTAAGAATTAGAGCAGGACTGCCAGAAAAGCTACATGACAAGCTAGAACCATGCCATTTTAGAACTAGACTTCAGTATTTGCATCCTAAATATGAACAGAAAGTTTCAAAACTACATTATCAGGTATTTAAATCAAAATGTGAAAGAAAAACTTACAGAAGTCACCATGAACACAAATCCTAAAAATATAGGTACTCAAGTACTGCTTTTCAGAACTCTCTCAACTTAGATCAGGAACTCACAGATGTTTACATTCAATACCTGTCCATTAAGGATACACAGAAACTAAGTAGTTCCATATGCTGCTGCTAAATAAGTCATGAAACAGTAGTTCTTCACCAACTGCCCTAAATATTAAAATCAAGCAAGTTAATAAGCAGGACCAGTTATAGATATCCTTAGTTATTAGCCACATAGATTAATCAGCCCATTTTCAAAGCTTACAGTTTTGATAGAAGAATCTAGGAGATTTTTTTTTCCTGTGCTTAGTTAGCATGCATTACTTGAACAATAAATCTGCTCAGCTTAAGACCAGACCTAATACTTTTAACATATCCAGCCACTTAAATGCACGGACAGAAGATCATGAACAAGTGTTTGAGAAGCTCCACTTGAACATCACTGGCCAAAATACATATGTGGGTATCAACTGTCATCAGTTCTTCACTAAACAACCAACTGTTTTACAGATGCAATTATTAGTTTCCTTAATTCACCTTTGGGGTATAACAGGATAGATGTCCAAGCTGCTTCTTCAGGTGACTTATTTAATACATTTAATAATTCCATTACAGTGAGAAGCTATCATGCAGCATGCTGACAACAGTGATAGAATTCAGTCTGAACTTAAGATTAAAACGCCCAAACTGTCACAGTAGTCAGTCTGCAGGGCAATTCAGCTGACCACCCATTTGAGGAAAGAAAAAAAAATTAAAAAACACTCTCTAAAGTCTAATTAACAGGAGCCACAGTAATGTGCTTGCACACATCCAAGCTGAAGTGTGCAATCTGAAACCTGAACCCTGCCAAGCTAATTACAGCTACAATTAACACGCATGGATCACCTAGGAAAGCCGAGCAACTATTACAGCTCCATAGCACCACTGGGGAAGTGGAAGCTTATTCCAAACTACTTCTCCCAGGAGCGAGATTAGGGCAGCCCTGCCCTTCTCACAGCTATTGCACATAGCCACGCACCTCAGTGCAGTCAGTAATCTGCTTAGTAATGAAGATAACCAAGTAGTGTGGGTTATACAGCAGCAAAAGATCAACAAGTGCTCTACCATTTGCACTCAGGGTGGTAGTTAGGCAGCAGTAACAGCTTTAATTGCTGTAACTAGCTCTGGAAAAGACTCTGCCCATACCTAGGTTTGCAGCATGCTAACTTGCAAGAAATTAAATCTAAGTTATAATAGTCTAGTTTCAGGTGATCTCAGCAGTACTTCTTTCAGAAAGCTCATGGCAGAACATCCCACAGAGGCTGTAAACTCTGAAAGGCTGACTTTTTTTTTTCTTCTGTTTAAAGAAAAAGCTCAAAAGGGAGTAAACCAGTAAGAAATTCTTAGCGGAAGCCTAACAGCAATAATCATAACCTACCCTGATAGACTAAGCCTCAAGATGCATACGTTCCAAGCAATAAATATACT